TAGGGGTAGAAAAGACTGAAAAATATAATTCACATATAATTCTTTTAAATTCGGTTGATTAGACTTAGCTTTATATGCGATCAAAATGGCTCTTTGGCGCTCCTCTACCTCGCGAGGCGCTTCTTTGCCTCGCGAGGTGCTTCCCTTACCTCGCGAAACACTCCTCTACCTCGCGAGGTGCTCCGCTACTTAGCATACATAAAAATTATAACGAAACTGTTGCATGTAACGAAACAGTTAAAAAAGCTTTTTTTTTAAATAAAGAAAAAAAACATTTTTTTGTAAACGTTTATCAAGTAAACATTATCGTACATTAGACCTATTTTTGCCGTCAATAAAACGTCAGTAAATGACGTCGTTGGGATGTGACTTAGGACCGTGAAAAATACGTCATTTTTACGTTAAACTTTAGGAATAAATGACGTAACATACGTCATAATATGACGTTAGAATCACGTCATTGTGACGACTGTCTGCTACCTGGGACGTGACATAAATGGTTTTTGTGATGCGTAATTTCTTTTTAATTATTTAGAAATGTTTTAATATTGTTTTTGTAGTAAAATATATATACATACTAAAAATTAGATGTAACTTTCTAGCATCTTTCGTTTAGTACACTACACAGATAATCATGTATTATTATTTTTTTTTTTATTACGTTTTACTGTTTTCTATATTAAGTGCATTCGAAGCACCAAGGGTCACACTCGCCACCAAGATTGATGATAGGTTGATGATACATGTTATTTTTAATTGAAGAAAACATGTCAGAAGTTAGTTTTTCTAAAAAAAAAAAAAATGATATTTTAGTAGTGAGTTCTGATATCTTGTTTGTCCTGCCCAATCCTGAACAGTGTCATAAGAAACCAAATAAAATAAAATATCTTTTCAACTTTAGTAACTTTTCATTATTTCTTGAATATAATAAATTTAGTTTTTGTGTGTGATTTATAGTGCCCAGTGACAGACCCATGGTGTTCCGAGTATGGAGCACCTTAGGTCATATGTGTTTTAATTTTTTTCTAAAAAACTAATCAATATTTACCAAATACGCTAAATACGCTAAATAAATTTTAAAATGAATATAGTGTTTTAATTATTAAAAAAAATAAAACAAATATCTTATATTTAAAAGTACTTTTCAGAGTTTAAATTTTTGTGGCTCATGGTGCCTCGGTCTTCTCTATAATTAAAATAATTCTTTGTAATATTAAAAATTTGTTAAAGAGAATTAAGAAGCTATTACCACTTGGGTTGAAATAGGAAAACCCTTGAATAGGAACACAAAGACACCACTTGGGTTTAATTTTTTTTAAATAGTTGCACAACAATTATCTTTCAAAGCAATATACATATTCTCTTTGCAATTGGCGCAATTTAATTTAAAGATTTCACTTTTTTTTTTAAATACATGTCACTTGAGTTAAGTTAGGTAATATAACTTTGTGAAGGAGAAATAAAGCTACCACTTAGGTTGGATTTTTTAATTTACAAAATACATTGCGTGTACTTGGCGCCTATTTTTTACCTTTTTTGAAAAAGGTAGTTTTGTACTATTCATATAACACGAAGTAATTTTTTTTTGTACTTGATTATAATAGCAAATTTAAGAAATGGGTCACAAAGAAACGGTTATTTAATATTCTCAAGTAAATAACGGAATTAGTGATAGAAACATTTTTCAATGTTCAATGTCGTTGCAGTTAGTTTTTATGAAATAATATATATATATATATATATTTTTTTTATTAACTTCTTGTTGTACATTTTTTGATACTATCGATGCTCGCTCGTAATTCGAATCGAACGTAATATTATCTTTCGGTGATGATAATTATCCGACAGTGGATTTTTCCCCTTCTTTTTGATCTGGTCAAAATGCGACCATATTGTACATGGCCAGGACAAAGGTAGGTCCGATCTGGCTCGAAGAAAGAAGATTGAATAAAAGTAAGTGGTCAACACTGACCACAATGGTGAAATAAGGTATAAGCATGGCAAAAACATATAAAATGATTTTATATATCTTATTTTTATTTGTTCCAAAAGGCTATTTTTTCTATATTTTCTCGCATACGCGTGCGAGATTAGAAAAATCGCAATTAAATCACAATCGCACGCGTGTTAGAACCTCCAATTCCACATTTCCCACATCTCAATTAGTGATCGTGTTACTTTGAGGTATCCCACAAGCCTTTTATAAATCGTGTCGCGATCTTAATTAAAACTTTGTATATTATATAGATTATAACACGGGTAGGTAGAAAAATGGATAGGTAGGACTATAGATCGGACTACGAGTAGGTAGTGATTCAGGTAGGCAGGGACAAGGGGATAGGTATAATCGATAGAAAAAATTGTATACAAAATAAAGCTAATATCATTAATATAATAATAAATATACTTATATTTATTATTACATTTTGAATAAAATAACTCAAATGTATATTAAATAACACTAATTTTTATATTAAATAATTTTTATTAATTGTATTTCTCAACAAACTATATAGTGTACAATCTCTCAATCAATTGGTTTATATTATTTATTTTCTTTTTAAAGTCATTAACCTTTCTAACACGTTTAATGAACATTCTTAATAAAATGAGTACTGTTTTAATCAAATTTATTTTTGCTTTCCTTTATTATGATGGAATTAGCGGAAACTTTAAATTAATATTTCGTGTGTTTATCGAAAATATAAAATCTTTCACAGTTGTGGAACAATGAAATTGATTTGAAATTAATTGTTTCTGTAAATAAATCTTAAGAAAGAATATATATTTGAAAATGGTATTTGTGAATAGTTTGTATGGAACTCTAATATTATAACTTCAGTAATTTAATATATTTCTAAAGCAATTTCACAATATTCAAGTGAATTATATTATCCACTAAGATACGTATCAACCGGGGTGCATTTCGTTTCACATATGATGTGTGCATGATGTGTGCATGACGTGTGCATGATCATTTATCCTTGTTTGGCATTCAGTGAACAACAAAACTAAATAATGTATTATGCGTATCATGAAACGGATAATGCACCCATTATCAATAGGCTTGTTCTTTGTCACTGCATTGAACTGCACTAAAACTTTCTACTGTGCTTTCGCCAAATTTTAAATATATGGCCACGTTCAGCAGAACAACTACTGAAGGTTTGTTCTTTTTCAAAGAACTCCCTAAACTGGTACATATTAGTGCAATAATTTAAAGTGAAACAAAATATACTTGCCATACTCTAACTTATAATATATACCTATTTCATTTGAAGTACAACGCGAGTGTACAATTGTGGACAGAAAGGCACTGTACATTAGCACAATTTAATTAAACGCTTTTATATTTATTTGGGAAGAAAAATAAAAGATCAGTATTCAGATGGTTTTAATAAGATTTTTCAGCAAACACCAACTAATAGTAACATTGCGTCATTGTTATTATTTCTCATGTTATTATTAGTTGGTGTCCGCTAACAATAAGTTATTTTTATGGACAAAACAGATAAAATACAATTTACAGATTTGCTGAAATCCGTTCAGCCTCTTTTATTATTGTTAAACGAAGAAAATTGCTGAAAAAATCATTTGATGTTAAAATCAAATTAGAAGTCCTTTTAAGATTTTTGGCAACTGGAAATTCTTTGAAAAATTGGCTACGGCTGGGTTCCCTACATTAATTAAATATAATTATTAGTATTATATATGTATATATATATTTTTTTAATTGATGTAGACATTATAATTTCTTTTTTAATTTCAAGTTTCTAAATTTTTACAATAAATTGTTTATAAACTTTACAAAATTTTAAGATCATTTAAATTATATAATAACAAACTAGAATTATTTTTGGTGTGATTGTATATAGTAGTAGTAGTAGTAGTAGTAGTAGTAGTAATAGCAATAATAGCAGTAATAGTAGTAGTAGTTGCATTGTCTGTAGTTGCAATAGCAAATTTTGTGTCCAATTGAATGACCATAACGGAATATGTTATTATAGCTCCAGCAACCTAGAAAAATAAAACTTTATTTAACAAATCCTGCATTATATGTTATTGTGCGAATAAATAGAAGTACATTTTTTGCTTACAGAGCATATGAGGGGAATATTGATTTCAAATAGTCCTAAAGCAGTAAACGTTAAATTCTCATGGAAAAGCTGAAGTGAAAAATGCACCACCTAAATAATACATATATAAGTTCATACAACAGAGTACCGATCCAAAAATATTTTGTATTTAAAATGCTACATATAAATAATCTTACTTCAGCCCGTAATGATTTATACTCCAGGAAAGCATTGTGCAAAATGATTGCCATTTGCCGAAACTAAACGTATATAACAAAATTAAAATCGCATTATGCCACGCTCTCTTATCTAACTATAGTAACTATGTTCGCACGCACCCGATACACGCACGAATTTATGAATATTCAAAACTATTGGTAATATCGAAAAATAATTTAGACAAAAATTTCAAAAATTTTTTTAGCTAAAAGTGCAGCAAAGGTGTAAGATTACCTTTGTTTTATCTCAAAATAAAATTATATTATATATAGTTTTAGACTTCTTGATTTTGTTTTTTAGTAAGAAAATGAGCACGTACTGTATAATTAGTGCTAATTACGGAGTGGTCTGTATATTTATAAATAAGTTAATAAATAAAACTCAACTGCATTTCTCGATCGCTGACAAATGTAACTGACGTACAGAAATGGAAGAGCATAGAAGAATGTCATATGTACATAGCCTAATATTATTTCAATGTCAATGTTTGTTTCTATACTATGATGTATAGTATAAAGGTAAAAAATTATATTAGTTAAACATAGAGTAGACATTGTGAGAAGTTGTAGACTAAAATTTGTATTTATCTGGTGGTAAAAATGAACTCGTATTAGTAAAAATTACTAAAGAAAATGATAATTTAAATTACAACAGTAATTCATGCTACACAACATAATTGTACTCGAATCTTCGTATTTTTAGTATATTAGGAATGAAATCAACATTCGTAAAAATTATAGTGCTATAAAAAAAGAGAAGTTTAATCTTTAGAAAGCCACATTATAAGATGTTATTCTGACAAGAAGAAAAAAAATATTATTTTAATTTATACAAAATTTAGTAGGTAAGAATTTTTGAGACTGCTAATTATAATACAAATTCTGAAGTCAAAATTATCAAATTTAAAATGGCTGGAATCGAAGGCCTCTACAGGTTAATTATTAATTGATTATAAATCCATATTTAGGCTGCGATATAATCGATAATTAATAATCAACTAATCAATTGCAGATCAATTGATAAATTGCAGATAACATTATGTTAAAATTACCTTTGTCGCTAAAATATACAATTCATGATGAACATATTGAATCGATCGGAATTTGGTAATTAAAGCATTGTTGCATTTATTAAATAATAAATTTGAGCTTGTGGTGAAATCAACATAAGAAACCGATAAGTTTTCCCTCGAATGCTGTACTGCGATCTTATTCAATTCGCGAGATCTCAGATATATATCGTATATGTGATGACTGAATAACCCATTCGTAATTAGTATGCACATTCTGCAGTACCAGTTAAACATGGTGAAGGGTATATCTTTAAATAAATTAGAGTAAGCGATTATATCGTACAAGGTTTTCATCGTATCCAATAATGCTATTTTCGCAGTCACAATGTCCTGCAGATGCGCGAGGAAAATATCATTATTTGTGAATCGTGCACCGTACGACCTGAAATATGAAACAACCGAACATATTAGCTATAATAAAATATAATAGATTATGACAACTTATAATAAGATGCAGTTATGCAATAAGGAACCAAGCGCCATTTTCGTGAGTTTTAATTCTGCATTGCCAAGTGATCATAAACTGGACAGGAGATTGTCTAAAAATCCATATAACACATGGATTTGTATTTGAAAAAGATTATAGTTCGGTAATTATATTTGACGTCGGCATGTATTATAACGTTGGCACAGAATTTTATTTCTGATATTTCGCGAAATTTATTCTAGCGGAAAAATAAGGTTTTGAAATTGGTTCTGCATTGCAGAATGCGTCCAATATACAATCCAGATCTTGTAAATATTGATTTCAAAATAATTAAAAAATCGTGTAATAACGACGGCACAAAAAAATCTTTAAATGTCAAATGATTAATGAAAATTTATTATCAGCCATAATTTATTGCATATAAGAAAATTATTTACAATATTTTTATTAGAAGACTTTGTCGCTCTTTGTCTTAAACAAACATAATGTAATGAGAACATTAAATATCTCCATTGTGTCTCCAATGACTTAAAAGCTTTGCATTTAAATGAAGCGCGTTTAAAGATATATTTAACAAAATGTCAAGAAATTTATTACACCTACATATATCTTATTAGAAATTTTAATGATATAAAGAGTGAGATCGAGTATTAATTAAATCTTGTGATGTAATTATATATACAACAATCAATTTCTTTAATACACTTTAAGTTACAAAGCTGAATCTGTGATAAATTTTACTTTTTAATAACAGCTGATAAAACTTGACTTTACGAATTAAAGAATTATTATTTTATTTCGCATTAATTATAAATATATATAACTAAATATGCTTTTTATAAAGATTGTTTTTTTTCCGATATGTATTTTAAATTAGATATTTTTGAAAAGATTTTCACTACACACACACACACACACACACACACACACACACACACACACACACA